ATTTGTCGTGGTATTGGTAGAAACTATCAAACATATATAAATGTTTTACTTTTAGTAGAGGACATCGACCCTTATTTTATATTGTTGATATCCGCCAGTGATTCTTCTATGTTGTAAAAAAAAACTGCTTTAGACTAATGTATTTTATAATGGGTTGTCTCAACATTTTATGATAGAGGCAGTAGTAAATTATATTATACAGAAGTATATATATTAGATTTTTAGAAGTCAAAATGAAAACATTTGAAAATTGGTAAATTCAGTTGCATTTTGTCAGTCTTTTGGCATGACCATACGTTCAACCAGCATAAGATATTGTCAACAACAACTCATAATAACAAAGAGCTGAAATGATGAATATATGGTTTAAAACAGGCATTTATTAAGAAAGTCAAATTCACCACAGAGTATTGTACCAGAAAAAAAAAATGTTACAGTAAAATCAATAGCACATAAAATTTATGGGAAAATCATCAAACCAGAGTAGTAGTAAGGTTGTCATCAGTTTTGTGTGGAGTCATTGGATGAGATGGAACCCCAAACTTGAATTGATCCCTCACATGTTTCACTTTGGATGTTGTACATTAACTATGGTACTGTTATGTGCCTTACTTTGTATGTTGTACATTGACTATGATATGGGTACATGCTTCACTTTGGATGTTGTACATTGACTATGATATGGGTACATGCTTCACTTTGGATGTTGTACATTGACTATGATACTGGTACATGCTTCACTTTGGATGTTGTACATTGACTATGATACTGGTACATGCTTCACTTTGTATGTTGTACATTGACTATGATACTGGTACATGCTTCACTTTGTATGTTGTACATTGACTATGATATGGGTACATGCTTCACTTTGTATGTTGTACATTGACTATGATATGGCTACATGCTTCACTGAAATCATATGATTTCAGTTAAATTCTTCATTGAAGCTCTATTGAGATACATGTGAAAAGTGAAGCTTAAATAAAGTTTAAACCCATTATAACTGAACAATACCATATTTATATTGATACAAATTTTAACACTTTCAGTGTGTCCTCTTCAGCCCAACATTTGTTTGTGAGAGAAACAAGTGCACAATTTATTTTATAATGGAAGTTTAAAGTCTCTTAATAACATAAGAAAAGGGCTCAGTTTAAAGTGATCTTCAGATGTCTTGAAGTTTGGAAACCTTTACAATAATGTTTGTGTAGTAAAAAAAGCATATGCCTGAAATTATGCTGTCTTCAAAACAACTGGCAGCATAATTAATCATCTCTTTTGATGCTTTTGATTCAGGTAGATTATTGAATAATAAAATTGATGAACTGATTATGTGTTGTATAACAGGAAACCTTTTTATAGGCTAGTGAATAATTAAACTGAAGAATATATTACCTGTAATGCAATGGAATCAAAGCTTTGTTGGCTTTCCTACAATGTATAAGTATGTTCTAACATGTTACTGTTTACTGAAGCATAACACAAGCATGGTACATAACATGGAAGTGTATACAAGAATATCACTCTGACATTCTGCAAAGAAGTTAGTAGGTGCAAAGTAAAGAAGTAGGGCACAAGCAGCGATATGTGGTGTGGGTCAAAGGCTTGGTAACAATCAAACCCACCTCAGCTAAACAGAAGGGAATTAAAAGGGCTTCATTAATGTATTTTTATGTCATTATTGCTCACTGAAGCATTACACAAACAAAATGTTTAGCTTAGCTGGACAGATTTGAATCATGCAAAGTAGAAGATATCCAATAGAAGATGTACATATCTGTTGCTTTACATTAGGAGCTCTGAATCTGTAGAGGTCTGGTGGACCTTTGTATCTTGTGTCCTCTGAGCAGAATGTCCAAAGGTAGTCTTGAATGTTTTAAAGTTTTGTGTTTATATTCTGTTTAGAGATTAGTTGTAACATGTTAAAACAACTACATCATCTCTAACTTAGTGAATTTGGTGCTTCCACCCTTCTTTCAGCTAACAAAATAATGTGTTGTGTGATATGAAATTAAGTATGTAGGTGTGGGTGCATGTGGTCAGTCAACTGTGGAATTGATAAGTGGAAGAAAATTTGTAAAAAGACCTAGAGTGTAAACAAGAATATTGTTACTAGGGTATGAGATTAGAACTGATTTTAATTATTTGTTAGACCACTGTGAAGTTTAATATCTTTTGTTGAAAAAAAAACTTTAAATTTCAAACATTAAGGTGTGTATTATGTATTTTTATTTTTCTATTTGAATAACTGATACCTACATAAAAGACCAATTTATGAAATCGTTTAGTTGACTGGTCAAAATGCTCACATTGCGTATTTAAAGGTTTTTAATGTTGTTATACAATAGCTAATATATTTATTGTTTTTAGGGTTTAAGATTAAGATTTTCTTGATATTTTCATACAAAGAAATATATATATGTGTGTGTATACTTATATCTACATATATATCAAATATTGCAGGAATCTCTTGGTTATTCTTATACTAGTGTATAGCCCATCAAAGATGATGGGGCATGTACTACCACCCTGACCCCACAGTATACCCTAACCTCACATTTCACAGCTAACTGAAATAAATAAATATTGTGAAATCAAGCTTTACCAGGTAGAAAAGTGCAGTGAGTCAGTCAAACATTGGTGAATTCTTTTGTATCTCAATCAAAATTAAGATCATTCATGAAATGAATTTATTGCGCATTCATAGAATAATTAGTGGAAGAAATCAGTTAGATTAACAACTTCTAATATATAGAAAAGCCAATGTGTTTTGGTAACACTACATTCTAACAATGGCTTTTATGTCATGTTGCTTAGCAACAAAAGTATAACCTAATAGTGATG